CAGTCTCATGTATTTTACTGACATAGTATGAGAGCAGATGGCTACATATGTAGGTAGCCCTTAAGTGATTGAGAGCAACATAAAAGTGCTTGGAGAAGTTGTTGGGAAATAGTTTCAGAAAGAGATGCAATTGGCCATTTTGTAGCTTCAGCCAAAACCAACAAGTTGTTTTGGTAGCTTTTAGGAAGAAGACATATATCAACATATGAAACAAACTTCTTAAAAATCATCTGGCACTCGGACTCAACCTAAAACTGAAGGCCTCATTTTTATTACATCATCAAGATCACTGAAATGCACTGATGCCGAGGTCTACTGATAGAAGCTTGCCCCCTTGCCAAGCTCTTTCAAGCTTTCTTTATTAAATGTGTACAAAGCCTTAAAAGAGCTTTGCTCGCGGCCAGGCCGGTGCCAACCACCGTTCTATTGTATTAGATCAGGATATTTTAAGGATATTTATTGGTATAATTGTTCATATCGGGCATTCATACATAAATATTTTAGTCAAGTGTTCCAGACAGCGACACCCGTCGATTTTTTGCAGAAATCATAGATAACAGAAATTCGCTATGAATAATGCATTAATAGTTTTTAATTGCAAGCGCTCAACCTACGGAGCTTTTAGTTTTTAACTTCCTACGTTCCTTTCACTTTTCCGTTTTTTTTTTTGCCGTTGTACTCTTCGCCAATTTTAAAAACAGTGGGAGATCACAAATTAGATTCTGATCGTTGACACAATTTCGATTTTGTTTTTGGCTATACTATAAAAAGGTGATAGGAACAGCGAAAATTTTTAGTTGAATTGAAAGTTCGCAACGATGAAGAAGTGGCACATTTTATCAGGTGTGTGGCGCATCAAATTTATCTTAGCGTAGTTCGGTTTTAAGTGGCTAAAATACACAATGCCGCAAAAAATATTCAGCCTTATCAGAAGTTTCATTTTCCCCGAACCGGTTCACTTTTCAATTTTTGTTTCAGTGTATTTACTATGGCCGGATGAAAAATTTTCGGGTGAGTTTTTTTCGGGCGAAACTCAGGATAAGGCTGATTATGTTTTGTTTGTGTAAATGAAATAAAAAAATTACAATAATAAAAAAAAAATATTTAATTAATTTAATTTCTTAAAAAAAAAAATACAAAAATCTAGTTTTTTTCCTTATCAACTCGCTTATAACTGGAACGATTGCGCTACCCTATCAGCATTTAGTCACCATTGATCCGGATGTCACCCTTGTACCAGAAGAAACCGTTGTCGCCACGCAACTACAGGTGTCGCCTAGAGCTGATGGCACGCGCGACTATGAATTCAAAGAAGTGCCGGTAATTTTAAGTGCGCGTAATATGGATTTGATGCCTGCGGAAGAAGAAGTCGTTGAAAAAGAAAGCGTAAACGAAAAAGTACAAGAAAATGTAGAAATGGTAAATGGAGAAGTAAAAATGCAGACAGAAACAGAAAAGTCAAATGAAGATAGTTTGAATTCAGCGGGCGAGGCAGTAAAAACCGCAGTGAATGAAATCGACGAAAGCACCAAAAGCTTGCAAGATGTTGCGCAGAGTCCCCAAAGTATCGGTACAGCGGTGGTGAGTGAAGATAGTACACATTTTCGAAACTCTTAGGCCATAAGTGTAGATAAGTATTTTAGTTAAGCAGTTTTTTTTAATATTTATCAGTTTTAATAATTTTTTTTTAAGTTTATACTAACTTAAAATGTATCTATGTATGTAATATTTAAAACATATTTTTCAGATAAAACCCCCCAAATCAAAGCGTCCTGCAATCATTGATAGCGGTAATCCCATTTATATTACAATTCCGATTTATGTGAATTCAGAGCCTGGGTTGCCATTAACACTTTCAGTAGGTAGTCAGGAGATCGCACTCAAAGGGAATAATCGTCAAAGGCCAGCAAGTAGGAGGGGTGTGTTTCAGAACAACGGTTCACCTACTTCACAATATAATAAGTTGCTATAGAATGTAATAAATATATAATAAAAATAACAAATAAAAAAAATTTGAAAACTAATTTTTTCAGCTTTTTAATTTATTGTAAACAATTAAAAACGAATGTCTTTTATGTAAGTTAAATACATACATACATATGTATGCGCACTTTTTGTAGCAGTGCCAGCAAAATCTTAAAATTACGAAACTGCTTAAAGTAATTTTTTAGTATTATTTTTATTGAATTTATTTTATCATATTTAATTAATCGACCTCAAAAAAGGAGGAGGTTATCAATTCGTCGGAATATTTAATTTTTAATTTGTTATTTGTTACCGCATGACTTTGAACCACGTAAACCGATTTCGATAATTTTTTTTAACGGAAAGGTGGTACCTCAAGAGTGGCCCATACTAATTTGGTCTAGATCCGATAATTGGATCATGAAGAAATTACGTTACTCCTAAATTTTTATAAGAGAATTGAAGTCGCTTGCGTTCTTTGGTTAGAAATTATTTGTTTACTTTTTATTTGATTTTATTTATTTTTTTATTTTGTTTTATTTTTCTATTTGATTTGGTTTTATTTAATTTGTTTTTTTTTTATATTAGATATAAATATTTTATTTTAAATTTAAAAAAATATTTAATCTTATTTTATTATAATATACTTTTTTATTTTATTTTATTTTATATCCTTTAATTTTTTCGATTTTATTTTATTTTATCTTACCTTATTTTATTTTAATATTATTTTGTTCCAATATATTTTATTTGAACTATTTATGTAAGTTTTTTTGTTATATAAATTTTTAATTTTTTTAGTTTTTATATTATATAAAAATATTTTAATTTCACTTATTTAATTTTTTCTTATTTCGTTTAATTGTTTTTATATCTCATTTCATTTTATTATATTTTTATTTTCTATTTAAAATTAATTTTTTTTTGATTAAAATATTTTATCGTATAATATTTTGTTTTGTATTGTTTTGTTTTATTTTCCATTTTTATTTTATTTTATATTCGACCTGCACCTACATCCGAACCACCGGCATTCGCGCTTCTCAGCGCCACATCGTGTTCTTCTTCGTCCCCGATTTCTTCCTTTTATTTCCCCCCCTCCCGAGTCTACGAAAAAAAGGTTTAGTTAATTGTAAAACATTTAAAAATTACCATTGCTCTTTGGTGTTGTCATTTTCAGTCAAAACAGATGCACTCCGCCGTGTTCATTTCTTTCAGTTGCATTGCTTCGGCGTCTCTTGCGCATGCGTTTGCTTCCATATCATTGTCGTTGTTGACTCTTTACACTCCTACTTTAGATGTTATGTAATTTTGGTGTCAAATGCAATGAAATTCCTAAATTTAATAGTTGCATAGAACAAGTTTTCTCCGATGCTCGATATCATTTTTCATCGTCTTCGAAAGGGAAAGTGAAAGCGTTTTTTGTTTTTTGTTCGACTCATGGTTAGGGCTTTAAAAGTGAAAACTTGTTGGTTGACTTGACTTAGAAGACATCGTCTGATCATGTATGTAGGAGTAATCTGTTCAGTGATGATTACAATATTGCCAAAGCTAAATATCAGATACTGTTCAAGTTAACTTTATAGTTAACAGAATATATAGTTCTTGTGTGTGGGGCTTTGCTGAGATCAGCTACGTGTGGCCCCTTTATTCACAAAGTGCTGGACTATGTGATTCCAAATGCCAGTTTATAAGGTCTGATTATATTAAGCGCCGACAAAGGTCCAGAGTCGTTTATATTCTATAAGTGAAGTGACCACAGGCATACCCGGACTACCTAACTACCCGATATGATATGTATATAGGAAATTCAAGACATTTTCCTTAGCTGTTGTAAGTCAATATTTCCGGTGAAGACATTAAACAATTGAGCAGCTTCGTTGAATTACAGTTGGACATTAACTCGCCTTGGAAACTTCGGGTCCTGCCTCCGTTTTGAGCAGCATCGGAATCAAGCATAGAAGCTGAGACTAATCTCAGAGACATAGTGATGCTGCAGGAAGTGAGAAAATGCACGAGAGCCATACGCAAAACTCTGAGACAAAACATGGGGTAGCGAATCCCGCCTTCACTCGGTGGGCGGAGAATACGAAGTTTGCTACAATTCAGGCCTTTGAGAGTGCTCCGTCCTCCGAATAATGCGCTACAGTGTTTTTAGAAGATATTTCAGACTAGACATAATCTCTCACGGATTGTCTGAATCCATCAAACGATCGGGATTATGTAGGGACATTTAGATATAGGCCTGACAAATGCTCTTCTGAGTAACTTAAAGAGGCTCCTTAGCCATGAGTGAACTATTGCCAAAAGCAGTCTAACCTAAAACAAAGCTTCTTTAAATCTTCGTCAAAATAACACTTTGAACCGGGATTTTAACCTGACATTGAAGAAAAAATCATTACTATAAAACATTTGCCAAAACAAAAGCTTTGTGGTACTTAATTACTCATATCAAAACATTGAGTTTGGACTAGGGTGGAGGAAGCAGACCACTTAGTTATCGTGACCAAGTTCGGTCCATTAATTGAGTACTATTTGGATCGGTCATCACAGAAGACAAGTCTGAGCTTAGTAAAGGCTTCACAAAGAGCCAAAATGTTCTCTGCACCGGTCAGAGCAAACTACTCCCAGATTCTATAAGTGCTTCATTACCCTGCAGAAGCCAGTAAGAAAAGGTGAAGGAGTGCTTCGGTTTCCCATGTCCTTGTTCCTTCCGTAGCTGATAATTAATAACTTCGGCTAATGGAATTCCATGGCATGGTCGAAGGGGTTGGGGAAATAAATCTCTGTGAAGGAAGGCTCTTTTATGGCGAAAATATTTACCACTTGTTTGCTCATACTCGGCTGTGTTACGTTAACCTAATGCAGGAGTAGACTTATGACTGCTTAGTTTCGTTGCCTGCACGCAACACACATTTTTGGCAATCAACTTAGCTTTCCTCTTAAGCCACTATTAAGCTGTTAAATTTTCGCCTTAACTAAAAAAAATGTTACAAGTATTTTTGCTTAAATATTTTTCTTCTATATTTCTTTCTACAAAGCTATGCAATAAATAAGTTAATAAATAAGTGCGCCTAACTAAATTTAATACAACGAATCATAGGAGGTGAACTTAAACAGAGTTCGTAACTGGCTCCTCAACTTTTGCTGGTTCAGCAACAATCGCTGGTTTCTCTTCCTGCACTGTTTCAAGTGTGGGTCCACCAGGAGCCGGTTTCGTTGAACCCACTATATCATCGGTTTCTAGTGGTGCCTGATTCACCACCTCCATTTGTGTACCAGCTGGTGTCACTACCTGCGGCTGCTTGGTAACCAATTCGGGTTCCTTCAAGATTTCTTCAACACCGGCAATAAGCTCCTCCTCTTCGGGTGTGAAAATAGCATCAGGTTTGATGGTGGTCGCGGTGGCGCCAGCAGCAGCGTTAGCAGCCTCATCATCGTCATCATCATCGTCGCCGATCACCTCTTCGATGGTCTTCTGTATGAAATGTTCGAAAAGTTGGAAATACTGCAGCGCATTGGTAGCCACCTGCTCAGTGGGTAGGGTGGTGACTTTTTTCAAGGCATCGCGAATGAGTATGAGCACGGACGTATTGCGCGGCGGTGCGCTGGTGGTGACTGTTGTTGCAGTGGCGGTATTTACAACTGGCGCATTAGTTTCGTTGCTTTGCGTAGTTTCCTTGTATTCGTCTATTTGTTCGCTTGTGGCTGGCGCAGGCACAGGCACGGGTTCAGGTACCGCAGCAGATTCAGCTTCCTTTATTGGTAGCGCCGACTGCTCTAATTTTTCAGCCCCCGCGGCAGGTGTTTCACGACGACGACGACGTCTACGATCGTTATCGTCATCGTCCTCGCCATCCTCTTCGCTTTCCTCTTGTGAGTGCGAGTCTGAGGCTTGTTGCTGTTGGAGTTGTTGTTGCGCCAACTGTTCTGCTTGCACTTCAGCATCCTCTTCAGAGCCATCTTCATCGGAGTATGCTTGACGTGCGATGCGGAGATGTGGCGCATACACATTTTTAGTAGCTGGCGTAAGGGAGCCTACACTGCGTGGATTGCTACTGATGGCAGCTGCATCACTGTCACCACAAAATACATATAACACCACTAATAAAACTGAAATTGGAAATTGATAAGCGAAGATAAATGAAATGAATAAAATATTAAATTTGAAATTTTAATTTTCTTGTTCAGTGTTTTTAGTGAAACTCACCGACACAACTATTGAAGATACGGACACCCATTTCAAATTTTAAGTTTTTCAGTCTGCAGTTTGCGCGATCTTTATGAGCGAATTCAGCGCGCCGCAATCGCCTTTTATATACCCAAGCATAGTACATACATACATATAAACATACAGGCAAATCAAATAAATATGTATACGTACTTATACGTAAAATAAAAACAAAAATATCCCAGTGCTTATCCAAAAAGAAATGAAACTAAAACTCAAAATCAATTTCGCTTTCGAACAGTGACAACGAATGGTGACGCTGCGCTACGCCTACCGCGCAGCATGCGATTGCCACAGGAAATAGAGCCCTACGTATTCTCTCACTCAGCATCTTAGCAGCTTTCAAGTAGCTGAATAACTTTTACACTCGATTTATTAAGTTGTACGTTCAGTTGCTCTTCTTGTCTTGGGCCGGCTTTGCTTTTTTGTTTTATTTTCCATTGCTATTTGTTTTCAAAAGAAAGCGAAATCGTCTTCTCTTCTTCTTCCTTATATTTATGTAAATTTACTTTAGTATTTATGCTTGAATGTTGTATAATACTGGGCATATTGATTTTATGTATTAATACCTCAGCTGTTTACTGCCGCGATGCTTGGTTTAACTTAGTTTGCTAATATTGAAAATGAAAGACCAGCTTTTGTCTTGCAGCCGGAAAGATTTCGACACATTTACATACATCATTAGTGTACTTAAAGCAAAAACAAATAGGACATTTAGTCTTTGAAGATAAATTAAAAAGTAATTATAATACATGCACATAGTATGGCTATCGCCCATAATGACAGCAGTGAAAACTATCCCCCAACCACACTGAATGGAAGAGATAGACTAGGACTAGGCCAGTTAACTCCTCCAGTCTCCTCAGAGATCAATGATATCAATATAGCCCGTTGAGTGCAATTAAGCCCAGATAACGCAATCTAAGGGCATGGATTTTCGGATGCCTCAACAAGGCGAAATTGCAACTTCTCATCTGCTGCCTTCAAAATTGTTTCTTTTCCAAGGCTGTAACTATGCGGCGTAGTCCTTAACTCGGCCAAAATCGATTAGGTGGTTATAGGGCCAAAGAAGAAGAAGTCCTTAATACGAAGTTAGTGAAACAGATCCGATTCCAACTGGATCTGTCATCGCATGAACTAATTTTGTGGTCCGACACCTTTATCGTACTAACTTGGATGAAAACAACTCCATGGATGTTGAAGTCCTACATAGCCACAGGAGAGGCCATATCCTTCAAAACATCAACAATTCTACGTAGCGACATGTCCAAAATCTCGTAGAAGGCCCAACATGGCTAACAAAGCCCTCCGCACTCTGGCCCAAAGTCTCACCAAACTACGCTCCCCCTGAACAAAAGGCAAATTGAAGTGTTCCACGCAGCCGAAAGCAGCGGTCCCTTGAATCGCTTCTCCTCCTACTCAAGAGTTCTCAGAGTGGCAGCATTCACGCTCCGGTTTATATATAAGTAAGGCTAAAACAGTAGTTTTCCTATGTTTCAAACAAATATGTCGTACACGGCGGCTCATGGCAATTTACTCATCTCTACGCTCCACACATGGAAGGACTCTGGAAAGCAGCAGCAAAGAGTTTCAAAATTTACTTAACAAAATTTGCGGAGAATCACAAATTTACCCTCATATGAGGAGTTAAATACTCTCCTCATTGGTACTAAGGTCGTTCTAAACTTTAGACCGCATCCCCATTGTCCCAAGCTCCAGACGACCTACAAGCTCTAACATCAGGTCATTTCCTATGCGGGATCCCACTACCTCCCTTACCTGTGCCGAACTCTGAAAATCTCTCACTTATACAATTCTATTAAGTTGGGACTCATGTCTTCAATGACTTCCTTATTGATAAATTCAGCTAAATAAACCCTTTCTTGGCGAAGTTTGGCCAGATTTGTAGAAGCATCGTAAAAGTCGGTTTTTTACCTTTGTTTAGTAGAGGAAATTCTGAGTCAGACCTTTTCTTGTTGACTAGGGCCGGGTTTGTCAAATCGTCCCACAAGAGGACTCTTTCGACCATCGTATATTTCGTAAGAAGAAGAACCACGGAAGTTTCTTGGGAAAAATGCGTGTACTTTAAATAAGAGGAGGCATTTTGACTTTCTCAAAGAAGTTTACTTCGGCAGGAAATTACAAGCAAGAAGGCAAGGTTCCTTTGTTTGATCCCAGTTACATAAGTTGGTACACAGCTGGGCCAAAGAGATATAGCTTAATGTGCCTCAGGCCAAAGGTAATCTATATATCTGGAACATTGAAAAAATTTTAAGAGATCATATACAGTTGTTTATACAGACACCCACGCCCTTCTCAATGTGTCGAGAATGATCATCTCTTCAAGGCGAATAACACGGCGAAATCGTGGTGGGTCATTGCGTGATCGCCGGTATCAACGGGCTCGCCAGATTCCAGGCCGTTTAACTGTAGTGCTGTAAGTCCTGGAGGGGAGAACTTCGGAAGCGAACAAAGCAGACAAAGATAAAATTCCAAATTTATCTTGAGAACAATGAAATGTCAGAGTACATTCTACAAGATCGTTCACAGATTATTGAATATCAATTTATCTACAGCTGAATCTTTTAGTACTAGAATTCAACTACTATGGTCTTTTTAGAATTAATTAGCGATTCTGATAGTATCTTGGACTCTAGGACTTAGGACCTTATCAGCAGGACAAAAAAAGATCTCTAAGACCTATCTGATTGGCCGTCCTTGACCAGATAAAGACTAAAAAATTCCATTTATACACAGTCGCATCCTTTAGAATTAGTCCATCTGCGGCGCTTGTCGCTTTAGCTTACAACAGGGAGGGTGAAGGTGTTTTGTGCATTGATGGTTGGGGTCTCGTTAGCAATATGCAGAAGATCTTCTAAGTCGCAGCGTTCCTTATTCCTTAAATCCATTAGCTAATTAATGAACACACAACAGATCGTTTCCGCTCTCTGTCGGTGTACATTTTGTTTTATTTTTACCCACTAAGCACTTCAGTTAATGAACGCTGTGAGCTAGGTTCAGTGAATAGTAAGTATTGTAAAGCATTCGAGGCCCCCTCGGCGCTCAAAAGCCTGTGACTTCCTCTTGCTACTTAGCACTTTTTTTTTTAAATACATTTCATCATTACCAAACGATATTTCTTATGAGCTTCACCTTTTCAACAACTTTCTTTAAGTTCACAACTTTTGTTATTTAGCTGCTGAACTTTCTTCTTTCTTCAACGGCAACGTCACTGGTTTTATTAATCGATTTGAATATTCATTTAAACTTTTCGTTTGTGTTTTCTTCGGTTTTATTTTTTAAGCTTTTTGGTTTTGGGTAGTCAAAAGACACAATAACACACATTAATTGGTAGTAAGTGAATGAGGGTGCATTAACCTCACAAAATATCAATAAAAAAAAAATTAAAAACTTGAACCAAAACAAAACTTAAATAACAACTGCAACACAGCCGAATATCTCCAAAGTGGTACAATAGCTGTAGCCATACGACAAGATCACTTTTTAACTTATGCATACATAATTAATGATCGACGCTAAGGTGAAAAAAAGGCAACAACAAAAAACGCCACTAGCAGTTATCACAATATTATAGGAAAAAGCGAATTAAAAAAAATACAAATAAACAAGCTGACGAAAGTGGTGGGCAGAATGCCGTGAGCGTAGAAATTGATAAAGGTAAAGGTAAAGGTAAAGGGTTGAGTGATCTTCAAAATGGAATTTATGTATGAATACATACTTACATGCATACATATATGTATGAATATGTAGGCACATGAGTGTACCAGTTTATGATTAAACGCATCATTATAGTTGTATTGTGGCGAGATTGGTGTGGGTGGAAGAGTGGGCATGTAGTTTTACTTTTTTTTTTGAGAGAATGGCTAACAGATAAAGTATTAAAAGTTTGTTTCGAGTCATCTTGTGCTATATGAAAAGGGGGGCCTATCTGTATTTTCTTTGACACAAAAAAGCGCATAGCTAATAGTCTTCGAACCACAGTTGCTTTAAATAGTGGCCCAGTGGATGTTGGACTAGAGTGTTGTCTACTTCGCCTGAAGACAAACACACATATATGACCTCCGATGCCCTCTAAAATAGTGGCTGCTGCCGAATATACAGTGGGGAGCAGAAATGAGTACACGGTGATTTGCAAGGTTTTTAAAGTAAAACTATGGATCAAGCTTTAACCAAAACCATATCAATCAAGCTTTCAAATTTTATACGAAGCTTAGAAAAACTTAACAAATTTTCATAAAAATTTTAACTTTTTATTCGGATTTTTTTTTAGAATTTTAATGGGTATTCATGGAAACGCGTAAATTCCTCGTAACCGCGTAAACCTCGTATATAAACCGAATTTCCATACAAAATCAGGTAAATTTACGGCGTTTAAATGATTACGAGGCATTTGTACGTTTAAATTAATTGCCCTTTAGTATAATAAAGTGATTTTTGAGAATTTTTTTTGTGACGGTTTTTTGCACTTTTTTTTCTTACGGAATTGTACTTGTTATATGAAAACCCCATAAAAGCCGTCAGCAAAAAAAAAATATTAAAAATCAACGCGATTTTGGTTCATTATACTAAAATTTATTGGGCTACCAAACTGCATACTCAAAAAATTTCTAAAAAATCAGAATAAAAAGTTAAAATTTAATGAAAATTTGTTAAATTTTTCTAAGCTCCGTATAAAGTAATATATGTGGTTTTGGTTAAAGAATGAACCATATTTTTATGAAAAAATAACAAGCAAATTTTGACTTAAAAAACCTTGCAAATATTTAACAAAAATCACCGCGTACTCATTTCTGCTCCCCACTGTATTTAGTTTGCTTAGAACTTCTTATGAGAAAGCCGATGCAAATGCACTTAGCACATCATTCGACTTTCTCTTATCGACGTTCACTTCATGATCGTTGAGTAGTTCTTCCGTTTACCAGAACGCGGCTCAGTTAACTAAAGTTTTGATGTTGGTTTTGTAATTATTGGCTGTAAATTTTCTGAAGCCACAATGTCTTCGACTTCGTTATTAAGAAGCCGGGCTACCCATATTGACGCTCCTTTGTACTCTAGAAGCCTCTCCGAGATTTCTGCTGA